ATTCAGTCTTAGCTCCACAAGGCCGTCTGGAAACAGTGAGGAACCAGCCCCTTCCACGTCAGCCCCGCCCCCTGGGTGCATGCTGGGGAGGTGTCACCCTTTGTGAGGAATGAAGAAATGGACCATGCCTTGGCGCTTGCCCTGGTCCCACCCCCTTCTGCCAGAGACCCTCAGATCTGTCCCACTCCTGCCCAGGCCCCCACAGGCACCCTTGACGCGAACGATGTAGAGCTGGCCATGCCCACCCAGTAGGCCACACCTACTCCATCCATGCTCACCCAGTAGGCCGCACCCACCCTGGCCACACCCACCCGGCCCCCCGAGGGCAACCGCAATGCTGATGCGGCCCTCAATGACATTGAGTTTGACACCCCTGACTTATACAAACCCCTTACTCAAAGCTAACTTAATTCAGCCCACCTGGCCTGGTCCAGTTCCTGCGTGCATTGGCTGTTTGGCCCCGAAGGTCTGGGAGTGCTTGCTACTTCGCTCCTTTTTGGCTTCTACAGCATCGTAATACCTGAAAGGATAATCAGAGGAAGACAACACGTCAAAGGGATGTTATTAACATTATAATACAGAACGTGCAGGTGGCATATGTTTTCCTGTGCTGCAAAAAAAATCTTGGCCCGATTACCTTGAATTCCTCACTGCCGATTCAACCAGACGTAACAAGGATCCAATCTGGGTCGGTCACTGGGACCCGAGCTTTCGTTTTCCAAGCTTTCGTTTTCGTGCTGGAGCCCAGAATGTGCGCTTTGGACTATTCTGTGCCTAGTATTTATGTCAGGGGTGTCAAACTCAATTTCACTGAGGGCCACATCAGCATTGCGGTTGCCCTTGGGGGGCTGGGTGGGTGTGGCCAGAGTGGGTGCAGCCTACTGGGTGGGTGTGGATGGAGTGGGTGTGGCCTACTGGGTGGACGTGGCCAGTTCTACATCATTCGCGTCAAGGGTGCCTATGGGGGCCTGGGCAAGAGTGGGACAGATCTGAGGGTCTCTGGCAGAAGGGGGTGGGACCGGGGCAAGTGCCAAGGCATGGTCCACCGGGGCAAGTGCCAAAATGGCCACCACAAAATTATACATTGGCTCCCGGCTGGCCTGGGCCAGGGCCAAGGCAGTGGGGGCCGTTCCCTCATTGTTTCCAGGATGGCTTCGCGGGCCACATGAAACCACTTCGTGGACCGCATCCGGCCCCTGGGCCTTGTGTTTGACATGTCTGATTTATGTGGTGCCTGGTTGTGTGTGGCTTTTTAGTTGCTGATCGGGGTGTTGATGGCTAGTTATTAAGCCACTGACTGTTGTAGGGGCTCCAGCACAAGTCCGAAAGCTCGGAAGACTAAACCTCTGGTCCCAGTGACCGACCCAGATTGAATCCCGCAACGTTATTATCCTGGGATATATGTATTTGTCTTCGTTCACGAGATATAAAGGGATTCTGGGGCACTTACTGAGGCTATTACCTGCTGTGGGAAAGGATGAACCAGAGCATTGTTGGAGGCAGGTTGTGATAAACCTATGATTGAAGCTCAGCAAAGATTTTAACCATTTCACCGTGGCGTTTTTAAAAATCATTAACGAAGATAGCTTTAATTCTGGTGGAAGTAGAGAAGGAGACGTTGGTCTGGAAGGTATTATTATAAGGGCTCATCTGTCGAACCTGAGCAGGGGTCTTCAAACTTGGCAACTTTAAGACTTGTGGACTTCAACTCCCAGAATTCCTCAGCCAGCCAGAGCTGGCTGAGGAATTCTGGGAGTTGAAGTCCACAAGTAATAATAATAATAATAATAATAATAACGTTGGAAGGGAACTTGGAGGTCATCTAGTCCAACCCCCTTCTCAGGCAGAAAACCCTATACTATTTCAGACAAATGGCTGTCCAGTCTCTTCTTAAAAACCTCCAGTGTTGGAGCATTCACCACTTCTGGAGGCAGGTTGTTCCACTGGTTAATTGTTCTAACTGTCAGGAAGTTTCTCCTTAGTTCTAGGTTGCTTCTCTCCTTGATTAGTTTCCATCCGTTGCTTCTTGTCCTGCCTTCAGGCCCTTTGGAAAATAGCTTGACTCCCTCTTCTTTGTGGCAGCCCCTGAGATATTGGAACACTGCTATCATGTCCCCCCTCGTCCTTCTCTTCGTTAAACTAGACATACCCAATTCCAGCAGCCTTTCCTTATATGCTTTAGCCTCCAGTCCCCTAATCATCTTTGTTGCTCTTCTCTGTACTCTAGTAGAGTCTCAGCATCTTTTTTTACATCGTGGTGACCAAAACTGGATGCAGTATTCCAAGTGTGGCCTTACCAAGGCCTTGTAAAGTCTTAAAGTTGCCAAGTTTGAAGACCCTTGATCTTGAGCTTACCCCTTCGTAAGGAACGTCCCACGGGGGTCCACTAGGAGGAAGAGCTCCTTCTGCGTCTTCTGGCTATTCCCCGTGTACAGATAATGCTCCAGCGGAACAGGGCGCTTCAGGGTGCTGATCACATAAATCTTCTTCCGCTTGATTCTCCTGTCAGAAGCAGGAATCCCACAAACAGGGTTATTTTGGTGAGCTCTCCCCTCCCCTCCCCAAAGCTGTGCGGTTCAGAGAGCAGACGGGTAGTCCTCAACTTAGGACCCCAACGGGGCCCAAAATTTCCGTTGCTCAGTTGTTAAGTGAGTTTTGCCCCATTTTACGCCCTTCCTCGCCTCAGTTGCTCAGTGAATCACTGCAGTGGTTAAGTTAGTAACACAGTTGTCAAGTGAATCTGGCTTCCCCCATTGACTTTGCTTGTCGGGGGGGGGGTGTCGCAAAAGGGGATCACGTGACCCTGGGACACAGCAACCGTCATAAATAGGAACCAGTTGCCAAGCATCTGAATTTTGATCACATGACCATAGGGAGGCTGCAAAGGTCGTAACTGTCAAAAATGGTCAAAATTACTTTTTTCAGGGCCGTTGTAATTTTGAACGGTCCCTAAATGAACTGTTGTAAGTCAAGGACTACCTGTACATTGCCAACCTCTGGCTCAGTTGCCTTCTAAAGGGGACTAGGCCAGGGGTAGGCAACCTTGGCTCCTTTTATGACTCGTGGACTTCAACTCCCAGAATTCCTGAGCCAGCCATGCTGAGGGGAAAGGGAGAGGCTTCCAAGCTGAGCCATGGCTGGCTCAGGAATTCTGGGAGTTGAAGTCCACCAGTCATAAAAGAGCCAAGGTTGCCTACCCCTGGACTAGACCATTGCTAGAGCAAAGGCCCACTGGGAGCTATATTATTGTTTCTAGATGTTCTGATTCCATAATCAAAACCTGTAAGAGAGAAAGGTCGGCCTTGGCATCACAGGAACATCGGAAAGCACATCTGGGGCTTTAGATGAGCTGCCAGGCCCTTGAGTAACTTTCTGCTCACCCAATCCAGTCAGCAAACTCCAGGGTGTTGGGGACGGTGGCACTCAGCAAAATTATGTTTACATGGTCTGGCAACATGATGAGAACCTCTTCCCAAACCACACCACGCTGAGGAGGAGGAGAAAAAAAAAGACAAGAATGTTCCTGAGCATCTGAAGAGAGATGCCTACTGACTTTCCGCTGTGGATCCAATAAAAGGAATGAAAGGACGATGCAAAGTCCTGGCCAAAGAGCACTTAGACCAATGGTTCTTAACCTTTTTAATGCCGCGACCCTCAACCGGTCGTAAGTCGAGGACTAAACCAGTCGTAAGTCGAGGACTAAACCGGTCGTAAGTCGAGGACTAAACCGGTCGTAAGTCGAGGACTACCCAACCGGTCGTAAGTCGAGGACTTTCCCTGCCTGGGAGCGCCGCGCATGTGTGGTTCCGCCCCCTGCACCGGCCGAGGCGTAGCTGGCAAGCGGCAGAGACGGAGCAGGCCGACCACCAGCTGGCCCAGCCCAAGGGAGGTAAAGCACCCGCCAGAAAAGGGGGAAAAAAATGGCGGACAGCCTTGCTTGGCGACCCCCGTGAAATGGTCGATCGACCCCAAATGGGGTCGCGACCCATAGGTTGAGAACCGCTGACTTAGACATTGTCCTTCCTTAAATAAGGGAATTGGCTTTTGACCCATACATTCTCTCTCACTTTTTTTTTTTCTTTCCAAAACAATTTTTATTAGTTTTCCATTTTACACCAACACAGCTTAAGAATCCACGTGGAAACATGGTGATCAATTTTTTTTAAAAAAAACAAACAATAACATAGTAAATATATACACATTAATTCTTAAAAAATTCCCTCTCTATTTATATAGAATATTATATTCAAACTGATACATTTTCAGATGAATTCATTCATTACTATATCTAACCATCAACTGCATTAATCAATAAAAAAATTTTAATCTATAAAAACCTATATTTCTTCACACATTTAAACTTAAGCTTAATAAACTCTCCATTTATTTAAAAACATTATAATCAAGTCAATATCTTTCTAAAACCAATTCCTTCACTAATATAACATTTCATCCAAGTTATATAATTAAAAATAAACTAACATTATCTATTTATATTATTATAAGCTCATTAAAACATTTCTAAAACAAATTTTCATTAAATATATCACTCTATATAAATTTCATTAATCAATAAAAGTTTAAAAACTCATTATCCATCCCAAAGATCCTGTTTTCATGCTTTCTTAATTTTGCTGGAAGTTTTTAAGAAGAGACTGGACAGCCATTTGTCTGAAATGGTGTAGGGTTCCTGCCTGAGCAGGGGGTTGGACTCGATGACCTCCAAGGTCCCTTCCAACTTTATTACTATTACTATTATTATTATTATTATGGATCATCGCACAGTCAGCCAGATGTTCAGACTGGATTTGGCATTTTGTCTACCTATCGAGTCCTTTCCCAGGACCTGGGATAGGCAGATGTGGATGTTTGATTGTATTATAGATATCGTCGCAGGATGGAAGCAGTTCCTAGTAAGGCCGCCTTTTGCAATTGACTAATGGTGAATTTGTCAATGCCAATGGTGTTCAAGTGGTGCTCCAGTTGTTTTGTGATTGCACCCAAGGCGCCTATTACTATTGGTACTACTTTTGCTTGCTTTTGCCACAGTCTTTCTATTTCTATTTGTAGGTCTCTGTATTTTGTTATCTTCTCCAGTTCTTTCTCGTCTATTCTGCTGTCTCCAGGCACTGCCACGTCCACTATCCAGACTTTTTTGTCTTTCTTATCAACAATTGTTAAGTCTGGGGTGTTATGTTGCAGGTGCTTGTCTGTTTGAATTCTGAAGT